GGCCTAACGACCGGAAGAAAATGGCAGAATAGAGGCGGGGGGAGGAGTTAAGGGGAGAAGAAGAGACACAAACCCTGCCAGGGGACACCGGCCCATGAGAAACTCCACAATGCTGGAGGAAGTCCAATCTGCTCACACTCAGACTGGGATGGGTTTTTTTTATTTAACTTCAAAGAAATAGATCATTGTTTTAATAATTAAAAAAACAACACAAAGCGTCAAACTGCTGAGTAAGCATGGTGGAAAAAGCTTTTCAGCATTCTTCTGCTCAGGACAAACAAGCAAATGAAGCTCTTTTAATGCAAATAAAAATGAACTGCACCTCTAATTTCACTAATAGGAGGAATATTCTTCTTTGTTACTGTGCACTGTAATTGTCTACTTATTTATAAGTCGCTATCTCTGGAGTACAATTGCAATAACTCAAGACAACTACTATCTCTTTACTTATACTCAGAAGTTTTTCTGAGTGTAGTTTTTATTCTGCTCTTTACTGTGCAGATACTTTAAAACATAAAGAAGGGACCATATACACTCTTTTTATATGGTCTATATTGTCTCTATATTGTCTCTTGTACTCTTCGTAAGTTACTGGAACCAGAATTTCCCTGAAGGAGTAAATCCCAATGGATAAATAAAGTTGAGTCTAAGTCTAAGTGTAAGTATACGGCCATTCTCTGCAGCTTTGAGTCTGAAAAATAAAAAAAAGCATCCGAAATAGCCCAAAAAAGTAAAAGCAAATACAAAAAAAACATAATCTGTTAGCCTTAACTGCAGACAAATAGCAACATGGCAAAGAATTGGACTCGTTTTGTACCTAAAGAGGCTCGGCGGATACAGCAGGTATGGAGGGTCTGGCTCCAAAAACCTGGATTAAACCCAGTGGTGGATAAAGGTTGAGAGCCATACACCTGAGGGTTTTACACCCCTTTAATGGAGGCAGCTTGTTGTTCTCCCCTTTTATCATCAGGAGCATTAAAGCCCGTGTGAGCTGCACGCTGTAAACTGTGTTGCTGCGTTATCTCACGGCTGGAATGTGACCTACATATCCAACACCTGCTGTGTTCGTCTATTTAAGGAATTAAGGGTTGGTTGAGGCCAACGTTGTCCAGCCAGAAAGGTTCATCTGAGTCCCCTCTGTCAAAGAGCATCTCCTCAGGTCGTCCGCAGACTTTCAAACCTAATTTCATTTCCTTGGCAAATGTTTTTTCTGTGACAAAAGCAAATTTTGTCTCTCTTACCTACTGTGGTTAGGATATATAACACTTGCACAACCTAATCCATTATGTTAACCTCAGTAGTAAATTGGTAAATTAGCCAATTGGTAATTTGGTGTTCAATTCATATCATTTTTTAATAACGCTCACTTGTAATTCGCCTTTATTTATTTTGTTGTATTGTAAATAACCCTTATTTATGTGTTTATGCCACCACTGTTGTTGTGTTTTTTCCCTTTTTTCTGCTGTAATGTGTACAGCACTGTCCCCACTGTGGGATCAGTAAAGTATTCTATTCTAAAAAAACAAATAAATAAAATAAAAAATGTCCTGCTTGTTTACATCTGAAACTAAACAGGAGTTGTTGCAAAAAATCCACACATTTGAGATATGTAGTTGAGCTTGAATGAAAAATGGCTGCATTTAATGACTTTTTTCAGGATAAATTGCTTTTACGTGCATATTTCTTATAAAAGCTCATTTTTAAATGATAAAACTGTCAGATGGTGACGACAAATGTAAGAATTTCCTGAGAAAAACAGTAGAGATGGAGAAAATCTTTTAAAGCAGAAGTACATCCGATATTTAGTTTTAAAGTATGTTACATTTTCTTTTTACTTTTTGTCAATTTGCGTCTAAAGAACTGCCCAGAAATGTTTAAAATGGGCTTTTTAACAGGACACTTTTAACTCGTAAAGATCCAGATAAACACAGATACAAACTGTGCATAAACTCTGAATGACTATGTCAAAGTGGCAGAAACACTAATGTTCAGATGCCAGAGGGTGTCATCATACCAATAACAGTATAAAAAAGTTTTAACAACAGCTGAAAACCAACAGACCATTTTCACTGGAAAGGCAATCTGAAGTGGCTTTTAATTATTTACTTTCACTTTAATAAAATGAATTTATAAAAAAATACTATGATATGGATAAATCATAAAGCCACCCATTTACTCATAAACAGTTTAAAGCCCTCCATCATCTTTACCCGGGTACTTCCTGTTTCTCCCCTTGCTGTTAAGTAAAGAAGGAATGGCAAAAATGTAAAGGCAAAAAAAAAGAAGAGCCTCTCACTACAGAAGTGACCGTGAGGGACCGGCTTATCTGCTCTCTGGGAGCTCAGTCACCACTAAACAGCGGAAACGTTTAACTTTCCTCTGATCTCTATCTCCAAACCTAAGCCGCTGTTATGGATCGTGTTTGAGGGGGCGGGGCTCACACACACGTGCACAAACAACATGCACTATTTCACACTTAAGTTTGAACCGAGGACGCAGCATTAGGTGGAGTTTTCTGCTCCTTTAGGACAAAAAAGAGCTCACGAATATCATACAAATTATAAAAAAGAACAGTGTGTTTAATTCCTAATTAAACTAATGCATTTTCTAAAAGGACTAACACTCACTCAAGAGTTTGTGGGGATAAAATGTTGTGCAGGAGAGCTAAATAGGAATGTTTTTTGAGCAAAACTCATGACTGGATGTCAGCAGAGGATCCGTCCTGTAACTCTGCTCCCACAATGCACCTGTTCAGGTGAGTGGAGATTTTTCCAAATCGAGTTTTCCCACATTACTGCCCAGTATTTCCCTTCTCCTAAAGGGGTTTGGGAGACATTTAAATCAATCCAAAGCCGGCGAGGAGCATCGTTCGTCCTGGCTGGACCGCGTGTGTGTTGCCACGGTGACGGGAGAGGCGGGTTTAACGCGTCATGTGAGGACGTTCACTGCTATTATTAGAGACAGATGCAGCACGTGTGGCTCCAATATGGCAAAAAGAGAGAGTTTTTTGGTTGTTTTTTTCTCAGTAAGACAGGATTCATAGAAACCAAATTATCTTAGCACACTTCCAAAAAAAAGTTCTTCATTTACAAGCCAACACAGAACATTTGTGTAACACCACTTTCTGGAAAAGCTTTCCAGGTCCCTCGTCATCCGATAATTATTAGAATCTATTTTCAAACGGGCTTAAACATCTTTATAAAGACAACAACAGCATTATCATCCACAGATTTTTCTATTGTGTTTTTCCTCCTCATGTAAATAGCCATCTTTGCTCTTCCCAGAATAAAATAAAAAATCTGGCATTTAAGTTTTCTCTTTTGAGAGTACCTGTACCCCAAAACGAACAAAAAAACCTCTCCAAATAATCAAAAAAACTGTTCCAACACAGCAAACAGTGGCAGCAAACGAGAACGCTCCAAGAAACAAGGAAACAGTGTCATGATAATTGCAAAATGGACAATCCTGGCTAACATGGCCGCCCACCCTGAGCCATGTTTCTGCTCGAGGTTTCTGCCTGTTAAAAGGAAGTTTTTCCTTGCCTGTGTCGCCTAGTGCTTGCTCACGGTGGGAATTGTTGGGTTTCTGTAGTTAACTTCAGAGTAGGGTCTGACCTGCTCTGTTTGGAAAGTGCTGTGAGACAACTGTTGTTGTGATGTGGCGCTATATAAATAAAATTGAATTGAATTGAACATCCAAAAAGAGAGAGAGAGAAAAAGAGAGATAGAGATAGAGAGAGAGGTAGAGTGAGTTCCCCACCTCCAGGTCGTCCAGTGAGCGGGCCATGCTGAGGCGTTTGGAGCGTCCAAAGGAGCGGCGGGCCGAGGAGCGCTGGGGCAGGGGAGGGAATCCCATCGTCAGGCCCCGGAAACGGCCGCCCTGAGGCAGAAAGGGACACCAGTCAAAACCCTTTTATATTCTTTATACGTCAAGCCAAATAAACAGTTAAGTATCTACTCGGTTCCAATAAGCAGAGAAAAGGCCGTTCCCTCAAACCAGAAACTGAGTGAATCCAGACAGAGTGCTCAGGCTGTCAAACATCAGGACGCTTTTAGAGCTAAAGCTAAAGTCAGAGAGGGTCCACCGACAGGCTGCTCACTCAGAGGTGTAAAACAAAAGTTCACCTGGGCTGTCCGGACCTGCTCACCTGTTTAAGAAGCAGGCCCACAGGAACCGGATGTCAGGTCGACTCGTAAACTCTGAATTCTGTTTAATTGAAACATGTATCTAAAGATCTACAGAGTCTGATTAACACATGTCCGGAGTCCTGGGTGTTTGGTTTCGTTCTGAGATTATTTTGTTATGAGACTACTGTACAACGCTTCACTGAAGGGCATTTATCTATCTATCTATCTATCTATCTATCTATCTATCTATCTATCTATCTATCTATCTATCTATCTATCTTTCCGGCTGATGGGGAGTGATGATCCATTAAAGGATGCTGACAGGCGTCACACGCTGATCACCAGCTGAATGTGATTGGTTGATTAAGAGCCGGCCGCTGCATTTCATCAGGCCGGCCGTTGCCTGGATACCGAGGCGGCCCGCATCTGCTGGTGTGTGCACGCCATCTAACCACGCCGTGAGCACTTAATTAAGCGTGTGGACACACACAGAAACACACACACACACACTCCCCTGCTCGTAATAGTTCATTAATAGGTGTGTTTTAAGAGAAACTGAGATCCGGCTGGAAAAGGGAAACGATAGCGTGTTGTTTTGGGTGTGTTTTTTTTTCAGAAAGACAAATATGAAAGGCTACATTTGAGAGAAAAAACGTACAGCTCTTATCTGTTCAGCTGATCCTGTCCAGCCTCCTCTCACACACACGCACCATTCAATTTTTTTTTTAAATCAGCTTTAAAAAAAAAAAAAAAGTATTCTTCCGGTTTAAAACAGCACAGCTGTAAAAAAAAAAATTAGACATAAACACACAGAAATGGCTTATTTCCAGCAATAAACAGCTCATTCTGGGTTGGGGGGGTGGGAAAACCACAAGAAAACTCGGAATCATAGTAAGATAAAATAAACGTGTCAAACTGATCCCATCTTTTTCATCTATTCACACACATTTACAGGCCGACTGAAGTAAATCTGCCAAAATTGTGCCTATTAACACTTAAAAATAATGAACAAAAAAAGCTTTTCTTTTTTTTTTTAACCTGGCTGTAAAATCTGCACATTTGCTGAGATTCAACGGGACTTCCATGTCAAGTATAATCAAAATAAACTGAAATGTGAGGTGTTTTCTCTCCGAAAAACTGGAAACGGCTCACGTGGACGGCCTGGAAGGTGCCCGGCGCTCCCAGGAAAAGTGAAACAGCGCCACCTTGTGTCCGACAACACCAGAAATTAAGCCGGCGAATGAATGTGAACGACTAGTAGTAGTTGTCTTAGTAGTTGTCTTATCAGACCTCCTTACTCTCGTACAACTCAAACACAGTTTAGTGTGTTATACAGAGGATCAAAGATATGGAACAGTCTTCCCACATCACTGACATCTTTCTAAAGAACTATTTAAACGGAATAAAATAAAATTGCTGCTAACAAGTTGTCTGAATTTTCCATGTGGATTTGTGGTCTAAATGATATTTTGAATTGTTTTATACAAAGAAATGTTGTTGTTTTTTACACAATATCATATAGATGTTTTTAAATTGTGAAATATATTTGTTTTTATGGAGACTGCCACTCATTAAGTTAAGCCTCTTGAGGGTTTTTCGGCAGTTGTCCATCGCATTTTTATTTTTTAGTAAAACATAATACTGTTTTCATGTTTTTGTTTTGAAAATAAAAATAAATAAATAAATAAAAAACTGACTAGAACGATGCCTAATGAAAGGGGAGTGGAGGATGGCCGTTCGGCCCCAGAACTCGGCTCTGAAAAGGTCAGCCTCCACCTTCCTGTCCCTGGCCGTCTCCGGGTTTGTCAACACTTCCTCCCATTGTCCTCCTGCAGGGTCCCCAGACCCTCAACCCAAAGACTCACTCAGGGTCAAAGAGACCGGACGGAGAAAAGGGAGAAAATAGAGCTTCTCCTTTTTCTCCTTCACTCAAAAGTCCACACGAAGGAACTGAATAGACTAAAAAACGAAGGCGGGACGGTTTCCTCTGGGTTCCCACTTTTCCCGATCCCATATCTGGATCAGATCGGCCGGCAGGAGAAAATGCAGATCCAGACTCCAGATCCAGTTTTATTTTTTAAAGTCTGATCCCACACGAGCATTAGCATTAGCATTAGCATCTCCTAACCCACAGGTCTGTGTCCTAACCATTAAGACGGCCATGTTTATTTGAAGCTATCGGTAAAAATGTCAGTTGCGTGGGATTATTTTATCCTTATGGACGAAAAAGACGAAGAAGTGGTCTTAAAACAGAGTTAATAGACTATTTTCTATTGAGGTTGTTTGTGTGTTTTGCCTTTTTAATACAGTTTACAAGATTATTTGCAGTTTTTACTGTTCACTGACGCCGTTTCCGTTTGTTATTTATAATTTTGTCTATTTTGTGTTTTGTGAATAAACAGGTCAGTGTCTCTTTACCAACCAGTGTGTGTTATTCAAACTCCCCTAATTCAGCTGCTAGTTGTTATCAGAGTAAATCCCTGTTCAACATGAGTCTGACAACTAAGTAAGTAGAATAGATAACTTTAAACTTTAATACATGCTCTGATAGGCCAGGATCGGTGAAAAAAACTGGATGGGTACGTCCCTACTCTGTGTCCCTGTGAGGAGGGAGACAGGTGGTTTCTGATGGGGCCAGATGTCCTCCGGTGCATAATAAATGATCTGATACCAGAGCAGGGAGGATGAATAACTTAATCTTCTCTTACCGGCCGAGAACGCCACGAGCCCACGTGGATTTATAGTCTCAATAAACGGCAGACCTGGACCGACTGGTCGTAGTAAATTTCCACGACAGGGATGTGTGATCGGGGGTGGGGGGGCTTCTCGTCTCACGGTCACTTTTAACACGGCTTTCCGAGTCCACAAACCGGCGCCGTATAGCACGCGGGTGCGGCCGCTATTAACCCATTGGCTGCCAAAGACGTCTATAGACGACTTTTATGTTTTTCAACGAGAGTGGCTGGGGGACGATCTGCTAAAGCTTAAATATAATATTATAAACAAATTGACCCTCTTTTGATGGGAGATGAGCATAGACTGTATTCAAATAAGAAAAAGGTAACGGTTCGCTATGAGAGAACATGTCGCCGGTGAGACGCAAGTCCAGGAAGAACGGAATAAGGTAGAAACACATTTTTTTTCCTGATGAAAGAAAAGAGTCTACTCTTTCTTTTGGTGTGTTCGGTGTTTACATAGTCATAGCACAAACTATTCTGTGGCTCTTGCAAAATCAGTCAAAATGCTCAAAAAACTCTGGCAGTATGGGACTCTGTTCTGAAAATGGCTGCCAGTCAATGAGTTAAAGCCACACTTTATGAATAGAGTAGATTTGTTGCAAATATGTAGTCTAATTAGACCTAAAGGCTGCCCACAGGAAAAAGACAGTTACTGTACTAAAAGCGCTCCATGTCCGGGAAAAATAGTCTTATAAACCCTATAATGCCAAATGTGTCATATTTGATCCGGTTTCTGAAGTCTTTTGGATCTGAGACTTTTTGCATCATTCAGTGGTAAAAGCTTTGCTCAAACCCCTGTTGTACACATTCAGATATACCTGATAACAGCCAGTAGAAGACTACACCAACATATATTTTTGACTTATTGCACGCTAATTGGATCAAAATAATTTCTGTTTTTTTTCTTCATATGTTGTTGAGCGGCCAAAGAAAGACTTCAGACTAAAAAAAAATCCAATATTTTTCCTATTTTTCTTCGATCAGGCTTTGAAGGGTTAACCTTAAATAAACCATTTTAGAGCCCAAACAAGCCTGGAATCAACAGTTAACAGAGCGTCTGTAGTCACACACACTAACCTTCTTCTCCCCCTCCTTGTTTCCCCCCCCGGGCTTCTTCTCCCTCTGGCTCCGGCGGGGCCCCGGCCTCTTCTCCCGCTCAGTCCCGAACAGCTTCCTGGCCCACTCGTCCTTGTGCAGGGCCATCCTGTGGGTCTGGACCTGGTTCTGGGTCTGGTTCTGGGTCTGGAGGGTCTGGGGGGGGGGGCCCGGGGGGGGGGCCCCGGGGGGGGGGGGGGGGGGGGGGGGGGGGGCGCCGGGCTGCTGCCGACTCCAGTCCCTCAGCACGTGGACTGGCAGCCAGAGCTGGGAATCAGGCCCCGCCCCCCTCCAGTCCCCGCCCCCCGTGGCCACGCCCCCCGAGGCTCCGCCTCCTGAGGCTCCACCCAGCTTGTAGGACCCTCGGGAGGTCCTGCCGGAAGGGCCCGGAGGTCTGGTTTCGAGGGTTTGGTTTCTCAGGTCCGGTTTTAGGAGTCTGGTCTCGGGGGTCTGGTTTCGGAGGTCCGGTTTTAGGAGTCTGGTTTCGGGGGTCTGGTTTCGGAGATCCGGTTTTAGGAGTCTGGTTTCGGGGGTCTGGTTCCGGAGATCCGGTTTTAGGAGTCTGGTTTCGGGGGTCTGGTTCCGGAGGTCCGGTTTTAGGAGTCTGGTTTCTAAGGTCTGGTTTCTTAGTTCCGGTTTCGGGGGTCTGGTCTGGGGCGGGGCCAGGGGCAGGGGCAGGGGAAGGGGGTGTGGCAATTCGGCCAGGTGGGGGTCGTGCCAGTAATGGCCGTTCCTCAGCATTGGGGGAGGAGGAGGGGGAGGGGGGGGCGGAGTCAGAGTCGGGGGCGGGGCTCCGAAGGTGGGGCTCCAGGCCGTGTGGGACGAGGGCGGGCTGCTGTCCCAGGGGCGGGGCCCCGATCCTGGGGTGTGGTTGTGGGCGTGGCCCCCCAGGTCCACCAGCAGAACCCGGTTGTTGATTCGCTCCTCGGGGAGGAAGTTCCCGATGCCACTGTCGCTGTTGCTGCTGGTGCTGTGGTTCTGATGGGGGTCCGGGTCCTGGTCCGGGTCCTGGTCCGGGTCCGGGGGGGCCCCCCCGACCCCCCCGCCCCCCCGCACGCCGGCGCCCCCCCGGTACAAAACCGACACGAACTGCAGCAGCGGCGTGGAGCTGGGGGGGAACTGCAGGCAGCCGCCGGTGTCCGGGTCCGGCGTGCACTGGAACCCGAACCGCCGGGCCACGCCCAGGTGCACCTGAGGGGTCAAAGGTCACAGTCAGAGCCCCGAAACCAGACCTGAGAAACCAGAACTAAGAAACCAGACCTCAGAAAACAGACCTCAGTAATATGAACAAAAAGATCCAGAAGCAGCTACAGAAACGGGGAGATTCAGACAGGCCTTAGGGATGTCCCGATCCTGTCACGTCTGGTGTCTCGTCATGTCTTGATTACCTATTGTTTACACCTGGGGTTCCCCTCCCTCATGTGTTTAAATAGTCCTCGTTTCCCATGTCCTGTGCCATTGCGTTTGCGTCTGTCTGTTTTTGTCACCCCACGTCAGGGTTGATTTTCTCACAGCCTTCTTTACTTTACTGCCATAGTCATGTTTTTGTTCCATAGCCAAGTTTTCGTCATAGCCATGATTTGTTACATTTTTGTTAATCATGATTTGATATTTTGCCACAGTCTTGTTAACTTGTTGCTTTGATACTTTGTTCATAGTTTTTCACAGCCTTGATTTGAACTTTGTCTGGACATTCACTCTTTGAGAGTGCTTTTGTTACAATAATAAACCTTGTTTTTCCACATTTCCGCGCCTGAGTCCTCCATCAAGATCCACCTCCCTGACAGATCCAGCTTTTTGTACTTCCGATCCCGGCCTATCAGAGCATGTCTTAAAGTTTAAAGTTATTTATCTACTTACTTAGTTGTCAAACTCATGTTGAACAGGGATTTACTCTGATAACAACTTAATGGTTAGGACACAGACCTGTGGGTCAGGAGATGCTAATGCTAATGCTCGTGTGGGACCGGACTTTAAAAAAAAAAAAAGGATCTGGAATTTGGATCATTTTCTCCTGCCGGACGATATGCGATTTTTTTGCGGATATCGAAGTGAGAAGCCTCCCTGGATCATCCAACACTGCTTTATTATTTATTTAAGATTTATTTTTGTTACAGAAGTAAGATGGTTAATGCCAAACCTGACCGGGGGGACAGGAAAAGAGAAAAAAAGAAAGAAAAACATTTGAAAAAAAGGAAAAATAGATCAAATAAAACAAAATTTTAAAAAGGAAGATAGAATAGAGAAAAGGTCAAATAACCCGCAGAAAACAAGACAAACAAAACCAAACATCCGGCTTTTAAAGACCCACTTTTTCTCTCAGGCCTTTGAGTGAGACTTCGACTTTATCTTAGTTGTCTTAATTTCCCTCTCTTACTTGGTTTTGTTTTTTCTTATTTTTATTTATCTATTTTTTTTGCTCTTACTGTTTTTAATCTTTGAGTTTGTCTTGTGTTGTGGTGATAATTGTGTTTTATGATCTGCTCAAATGGCCTGTACAGCGCCTTGATTTTAGCTTTGGCTGACTGAAGGCGCTTTATAAAGTTGAGTTGAGTTGAGCTTCTCTATCTGCACAGGTACCAGGTGGACTCTCACCTGGTGGTGGCACAGCTCCGGGTCCACGATGAAGACGTGGCAGGAGGTCCTGAGCCCGGCCTCGTCGTCCCGCCCCCCCCCAGAAGTGGAACTCCTCGTGGTCGTCGGTGGCCTGCATGGTGACCAGGCCGAAGAAGCGCCGGTCGTCGGGGCAACAGGCGCTGAAGGCCAGCTTCTCGGCGGGGTAGGAGGCCAGGACCGCGCCCCGCTCGCTGCACAGCAGCACGCTGTCGTGCATGACCTGCAGGCACAGGAACGCACGTTAACGCCCGGGAGGGCAGACACGTCCACAACCAGAGATCAGAGTCAGCCGGAGAGACTACTCAACCCGGCCTGGAGGGTAAAACCGTAATGATCCAGAAGCAAATGTGGGAAAGAAGGTTACGGACTTACTGGCGAATCACACACAATGAGATGTCTCACATGCTTTTTAAAAAAATTTTGTTTCAATATTATATATATATATATTTTTTTTCATTTATGACCTAATGGGTCATGTGATTTGTATCTAAGGTTGGTGTTTTTATATATATATATATATATATATATATATATATATATATATATATATGTATGTATGTATATATAATCTGAATAAGATTCAAAAGATGTTCTGTCGACGCATTTTCTGTTTCTCTCTCTCTTGCTGCGACCACTGATTCTGACCGCGGATTTTCCTTCAGAGAACTTATTGTCATATTCATGATAACTGTAAAACTGGTTCTACTTTGTAAGTCCCTTTAGACAAAAGCGTCTGCTAAATGCAGAAACAGAAACATAGCCACAAACCTGAGGTGTTTCTGTGGTGTTATGTCCCTGATATAGATAAAATCCCCTTCTGAAAAGTTTATTTTCGGGGGGTTTGAGCCTAACAGGCAGATCTTATGTTGTAACTGGGATGTTTCCCACTGAGAGGTTCACTCCAGGTAGTAGTGAACCAGAAAGGTTAGTAACTAAGAAGCTGAATAAGATTAAAAAGATGTTCTGTTGACGCATTTTCTGTTTCTCTCTCTCTTTGCTGTCACCACTGATTCTGAATGCGGATTTTCCTCTAGATAACTGATTCTCATATTGATGATAGCTGTAAAATAGTGTCTACTTTGTAAGTCGCTTTGGGTGAAAGCGTCTAAATGCCTAAACAGAAACATAGACAGAGACCTGAGGTGTTTCTGTGGCGTTATGTCCCTGATATAGAGAATATCCCCTTCTGAAAAGTTTATATTTTGAGCCAAACAGGCAGATCTTATGTTGTAACTGGGATGTTTCCTCCTGAGAGGTTCACTCCAGGTAGTAGTGAACCTGAAAGGTTTGTAACTAAGAAGCTGAATAAGATTCAAAAGATGTTCTGCTGACGCATTTCTGTTTCTCTCTCTCTTTGCTGTCAACACTGACTCTGAATGGGGATTTTCCTCTAGAGAACTGATTGTCATATTGATGATAGCTGTAAAATTGTGTTTACTTTGTAAGTCTCTTTGGACAAAAGCATCTGCAAAATGCAGAAACAGAAACCTAGACAGAGACCTAACATGTTTTTGGTAGGGTTATAGATATAGAGATATGTCTGATATAGAAAAAATCCCCTCCTGAAATATTTATTTTCGGGGGGGCATATCTTACGTTTTAACTGGGATGTTTCCTCCTGAGAGGTTCACTCCAACTAGTAGTGAACCTGAAAGGTTAGTAACTAAGAAGATTCAAAGGATGTTCTGATGACGCGTTTCAGTTTTAAGTGGATAAAAAACTGCATAACTAAGAGGTTGCTGCCTGTATGGGGATAGTGGAACGACCAGGAAAACCTTCATGAGGACCAGCGAGTGGATCTTCTGCTCGGCCCTGAGCCTCCTCATGGATCCCCGGATGGCCTGCAGGCTGTCGTTCTCCAGGCTGTTCCCGGCGGAGGCCAGCTCGATGGAGCCCAGGTATCCCACCACCATGCCCACGTTGAGGATCCCGTCGCCGTGGGGATCCGGGCCGAAGTCGGCCCCCCCCGGGCCCACGTCCACGTCCACGTCCGGGTCCAAATCCGGCTCCTCCTGGGGCAGAAGGTGCAGGTGTCGGAAGTCCGTATCCAGGAAGACCGAGTCGTCCTGCAGCACCTGGGCCATCTCCTCCTCCGAGAGCAGGTTGGGGTTGCTGTGGCAACGGGTGGAGGCGCTCCTGTAGGCTGGGAGGAAGTCGGGCTCGGAGGGGGGGCGGGGCTTAGACGAGGGTCTGGGCCCCGGCGGCCTCTCTTTATCCGAGCTGCTTGACGATTGGCTGGAGTTTTCGAATATCATGTTGAAGATCCCGCCGGACTGGAGCTCCGCCACCACCCTCTCCGCACGGTCGATGCCCAGCTGCTTGGGGTCCATCTTGGGTTTGGCCCAGCCCCCCCGCGCCCCGCCGCCATTGTTCCTGCCGTTGTCGTAGTAACCGTCCAGCTCCTCGTCGCTGGAGCAGGAGTCCATGTAGGACGGCATGGCGGCGGCGGTGTGATGGTGGTGGTGGTGATGATGGCGCCCGGTGGCGTTTGAGCGTTGGGAGGGGCGCCGGGAACGGTCGCCCTCGGCGATCACCATCTTTAACACGCCGGAGCAGCGCCCGATCAGCTTGACCACGTCCTCGTGCGAGGCCTTGGACACGTTGATGTCGTTGACGGAGAGGACGTGGTCGCCCGGGCGCAGCCCCACAAAGTGGGCGGGGCTTCCCTTCAGGACGCAGCTCAGCAAACAGGGGCTCTGACCCGTTAGCGTGAAGCCGTAGCCCGCCCGGCCCCGCGCCACCTCCACGGCCTGGAGCCGCCGTTTGGACGAGACGTCCGGCCTGGACATGGCGCCCGGGATTCTTCTTCTGTCCATTTACGGAAAGTTGGAGGAGGGGGATGCTAGTTTCTGCTAGTTTCTCATTTCAAATCTGACGATTTCTTCTCACAAAACAAGAACAGCAGAGTCCCTGTCTGTCTTCAAGA